AATATAATTTTGAATACTTGCCTATATTAATTCAATTAAGTATAAACCAACATAAAAAGGCAAGTTGATTGTTGAATAGTAAACGAGTAATTTGTTTTATTTGTAATCAAACATTTTGATTTGTTAAAAGTTTGGATGGTTTATTCCTTTTTTTCAACACAACACAATTATTTACAATTTCACACTTTTGAGACACTTATTGCTCTCGGAACCCCACATAATATAAAGAACCAGAAATAAGAAACCATAATAAACTTGTGTTTTGATGGCCCAACTTGATTCAAGTAACTTGAAGGCTAAAATTAAATAAAAATGTGTAAAAAAACTATGTACTTAATTGTAAAATGCGTCGTATTACCTGATTTTTGTTACATAAATACAACTTGTGCTTAATTATGATCAGAAATATTTTTATTTATGATTTATAATTTTAGGTTATGTCAGCGTTGCCAACATAAAAATAATACCATTTTTATTATATAGACAAAATAAATAAAAATAAACGATAATATAAAGTAAAGGAAATAAAAAATATTAAATAATAATATTATTTCTTTATGAAAGGCCTTATATCTCATTATGTGGAGGTATTACCATAGAAAAAGGATATAACAGAGATACGACCCTGACTCAAAACTTTCTTCCAAACCGTGTTACCACCACTAACATATTAAGCAAAAATTACTGTTTTAACAGACATGTTAAGTTACATCAATGGGCCCAATATGTTTTAAATAATTATTATCTTGTTATAAGGCTTGAAAAGTGATAGTAAATTATTGACTTATGAACTAGCGATAATAGTGGCGTTTTACTGTTATTTAAAGAAAATTAGTAATTATTGTAAGTTCTTCCTAGGGCAATAAAATTAATTTAATTTTTCTGGTTTAGTATTATTTTTATCTGTGCGTCACTGAAATTGGGTTATTTTTGGCTAGTTTTTGGTATTGTTACCTATTGTTAAATTTTACTTAATTGTATCAATGATAATGCCACAGCGGCTCACTTGATTTTAAGTATTTGAAAATTATGAGATTGCCTTAAGCCGCGTAGGCATCAATCAAGGACCAATACTTTACAAATTATCTCTAAAACAAATCATTTTATCATAATTTTATAGGAGACAAAAAATAATCACCAATAAAAGATTACTTGAAAAAATAAAGTTTGGAAGTCATTGGCGCACGTACTAAAAAATAAGGGGAGTCAGTGAGTACTGAACCCCCCCTATTTTGTTTATTTGACAATTGTTTTTTGTTTTGTTATTCTCAAAATATGTAACCATTTACGTTAAAGAAGTGTACCGAATTTGAACTTAATATTTTATCAATTACTCGAATTATTAAAAAAAAATCAGTTTTAAATTTCAAACTTTGTCGCCCTGTATATCGAACATGAAGCTCTAAATTGAAAAATGGTATTATAAAAGTCTTATTGTTTTAACTCAAGGAATATATGGTTAACGGATTGACCTCCTTTTTCCGGACACCCTGTATATATATTTATATAGCGAATTGCTTTGGTCATTTTCACTAGAACACATGTTAAGCTTATTGTTGCGCATTAATTTATAAAAAAAAATACATTTAAGTGTATATCTCCACAACGACTACATACGCGATTTTAATTTTTCTTACAAAGTAAAGCTAATAATATCACTATTAAAAAAAAAATGTTTGGAAGATTATATATTTTTTAAGTTGAAAACGCCAAATGTACCAACGTGCCAGGCAAACTATATGCATCCTTTAAGGGGATGATAGTACACGCCAAAATAAGTAAGTTTTTTCTCTATTATTTTTTCATTAGTGCCATTTTTTTTATTAAAAAAATCATTACAATTTTTAAGTAAAGTAGAAATTTTGGGCCGCCACTGGTTGTTTCTGACCTACGACAAATGACTTAATATGCTTGCACAGTGGGCAATACTCTACATTTATTAAAAATTTACATTTGTGTTACCTTTAATTACTTGTTGATAATTGTTTCTTGTTTTGCATACTCAGTTATTTTTAGGTACTTTGAATAAAACAATACATACTTTTTATTGTTAGGTATCTCGAGGATTCCGTGGTTTTCCCGTCGATTTTAAATTTCACCTTTCACTTTTTACGTCGATTGATGCTCATGTAGCTATTTTTTAAGTGTTTCACAAAATCATAATAAATGTTCAACTATTCCGCCGTTATTATCCACACAAAGTTGAGAAAGTTTAAAAGTAATAATACACTGTGCGCATACCTGTTTCTTTTTTGTTTGGATGAATAATATCATCGTTTTTAGTGGTAAAAACAATGATGATATATACGATAGGTCACATGCATCCAGTGGCTCCCTGGTTTTGTCAAAAAAATTTCATAATTTTTTATTGAAAAAACAGAAGCTCTAATCCAAAAATGATAGAGGAAAAACTTTCTTGTTTTGGCGTGTACTAAGGATGACAGTTTATTAGGTGAAACTAAGTAGCTAAAACTATTTCTAAGGTTTCCAATGGTGTGGAACCTCTGTGGTGTTGTGCATCCAATTTATTTTTAAATTCTTCATCACTTCTTCTAGAAGCATTTAAATAAAAAAAAATCTTTTGTTGAAATATTCTCCTTTGACCCAACATTTATCACAACCGTTATATCCATTATGGTTTTTTATGTTTGTTATAAATGCTCTAGCTGAAGTGTCAGAAAAAAATGTCCTTATAATAACTTACACGTTTTCTGTGTTTGTTTGAATTCCTGATTTTAATTTTATTAATTCTTTCATAAATTCATTTAAAAATTCTTCTAAGAAAGGCTTAGCGTCTCCACAAAATATAGCGAATATAACGACAAAAACATTTACTTTCATATTATTATCTACATACCATAGGCCAGAATGCTGTTTTTTTTTACTTTTACATAAAGGAAGGCCATCAATAATAAAATCCAAACCGAGCTGTGAACATTGTGGATGTTCATTAATAATTTTTATTAAATTTTTTCCAAACCAAAATAGCAAATTTGATCATTTTTAATATTTGTTATTGAATTGGTTTTTAAAGTTTTTAGCAAGTCCTTGCATTTGATGGTAAATTTTTAGGATTAGTTTTAATCATTTTAAAAGTGGAGTTATCATGTCATGGGTTGCATTATGTTCTATAGCCCATTTTCTTAAAAAAATAATTGATTTTTTTATTTAAAAAATCAACGTTTAATGCTTGTTTCTGTTTCTCCGATATATCACTGTCACTCGATTGACTTGCAATTTCTGCATTTTCATTAATTAATAGATCAATGTTTAATGCTTGTTCATGTTTCTCTGAAATATTAATGTAATTTATAGATAAACGAAAATTTTATAGACTAGTAAATGATGAGATTAATAATAGCCGAATAGAATCATTCAGTGAGATTATTAAAATTATCACTGAATGTAAAACACGAGTTAGCAAAGAGGTTACATTAAAAAACATAAAAAATGATTGGGTAACCTTAGACTTTTTAAATTTAATTAAGGAAAAATAAGCGATTTATAAATTAAAAATAAAAAATCCAAATAATAAACAAAATGAAACTAAATTTAATGTTATAAAAAATAAAATAAATATACAAAGAAAATTAAATATTAATAAATATTAAAAACTAATTACTTTCGCAAAAAGTGGAATATTGCTGGATCAAATTTTAAAAAACAGTGGGCAGTTATAAATAACATCACAACACTTAAGTCAAATAAAAATGAAAATTGTAGTCACTTAATAGTAAATAATTCTAATATAACATTAACACCGGACATAGTTCATAATTTTAATCAGTACTTTTCAACAGTAGGCTCAAACATAATAAATTCATTAACCACAAAAAATAAAACAAGATTTAACAAAACATACAAACAAAACACAATGTATGCCAGGGCAACCAATAACCAGGAGATATTTACAGTTATAAAAAAAATAAGAAAAGGCTCAGCTGCAGGCGGCGACGGTATTGTTGTTGAGGATCTATTGATTATTATTGATCTTATTTTGCAAATTATTACAAAACTCACAAATCAAATTATTACAAAGAGAATATACCCTAAAGAGCTAAAAATTACTTATTCCAATCCATAAACAATCAGATACCACATCACTAGAAAACTATAGGCCTATATCTGTAATAAGCATTTTTTCTAAAATTGTCGAAAAAATCATTAAAATTAGAATATTAGAATTTTTACAAAAACAAAATTCCAGTATGGATTCTTGGAAAACTCTTCAACTCAAAGTGCAGTGGTAGGTTTCGCGGATTACGTTTGCAACCAACTAGATAAAAATAAATATGTTGCTACTGTATTTGTCGATTTAAAAAAGGCATTTGATGTTGTGGACCATAAGGTGTTATTGGATAGAATGGAGAGTATGGGCCTCAGAGGCAGAATATTATCAATAATTAATTCATATCTAATGGACAGACATCAGTGTGTAGAAATTAATAAAACCAAAAGCACACTGGCAAGAGTTCCCTGTGGTGTTCCACAGGGGTCTGTGCTAGGTCCCTTACTTTACTCAATTCATGTCTTAAGTATTAGAAAAGCCGGACTGTTAGCCCAGTACTATACCTTCGCTGATGATACCGTCTTCGTCTACAGCAGCGAAGGCCTTCACAGTCTAGAAATGGCAGTAAACAACGATCTTAAAAGATACACTGATTGGTTAGAATGGAATAAACATAAAATAAATGTTAATAAAACTACTTATATGATTTTAAAACAAATACTTTCGTGAATTACACATTACCCTAAATGATATCAAATTAAATAGAGTTAAACACACAAAATACCTAGTGTTAATAATAGACGAAAATCTAAATTGAAGTAAGCATATTGAGTATTTAAAATATAAAATAATTCTCATGGTGGGTGCAATTTATAAGACTACTTGGACAAAAACTTAAAATATAACATTTACTATGCTTATTTCTATTCAATTTTAATTTATTTGATTTCGATTTGTGGTACTTGCTCAACAATACTTCACTCAAGTTGCGATGGCGGGCGATGATGACGGCCCTGATAACGACGGTAATAAAAGTTGTAAATACTGCAAGAAAAATGTAGTTACTACAGTAATTAAGTGTTCCATATGTGAATCTGTCTTTCATCCTTCCTGTGCACTAAGGGTGGCTGGCTTGGTTGTAATAGGAAGCAATTATCTAGTAAAATGTTGTGCACAATATAGTGAGGTTATGTCAACAGCACAACCATTCGTTAATGATCTGCTTTCTGCCAAGGATCAACTTGTTAAAAGTAAGGATCGTATCATATCGGAATTAAAAGAGAAGGAGGCTATCTTAATGGATAATATCAATCTTTTAAAAGAGAAAATTATGAACATTCAAAAACCAACTGTTGCTGTGAACTCTGGCAACGTTGTAACCAAGACGTCAGCAGAGACTGTGGCAAACAGTAGTTCAAATAAACCAGCTTTGACGGAACAGCTGCAAGTGCCTAACTTAATACTGAAGTCTCACAATCAAAACAAAAACAAACCTAATCTCAACTCCCGTAATCAAAATGTTATTGAGAAGAAAGGGGTTAATTCTGGGATTTTACAAGCTCAGGCATCTCTCAAAATGCAAGAATTAATTAATTTGGTAGCCGATCCACATTCTGCTTGCAACAATGATGATTGGCAAACTGTACATGGACGTAAAAAGGGCCGAAAATTCATGGTAGGCAACAATAAAACTACCAATGGTATACAAACAATACCACGTTATGTTTCACTTCATATATCCCGGCTTGCACCTGATACTAGGCCTGCGGTGTTACAAAGTATCTTGCAACCTATATTTAAGGACGTAAAGTGTGAGGAACATATTTCCAAACATCCTGAAGTATATGGATCAATGAAAGTTACAATCAGAAAGGAGGAACTCCAAAAGGCTTGGAAGCGTGAAATCTGGCCTAATGGTGCTCTTATATCGTTTTTCCGAACCAAGAGGGTGCTGAGCAACCAGCCAGATCCTCTGAAAAAAATGTAAGTCCTAAAATTACTCAATTAACTCTATACTACCAAAATGTGCGTGGTCTTCGCACCAAAACGCATGACTTCTACTGCCACTTGCTGGAAGAGGACTATGACATTATAGCCTTATCTGAGACATGGTTGTTTGATGATATTAATAACTCGGAGCTTTTCGATGACCGATACAGCGTGCTAAGAAAAGATCGAAACAACGACAAGACCCGTGGTGGTGGAGTCTTGTTAGCATTTAAAAAGGAATTCAGTCTGGAGCTGGTAGATTTAGAATATAAAACTAATATCATTGAGTGTTTAGTTGTCAAAGTTAAATTCAAAAAGTCTTTATTTTATGTTATATGTGTTTATATACCCCCATCTGTAAATTTAAATGTATATGAGCAGTTTTTAGATAGTATTGAGCAGATTTTAATTAATGAAGTGGATATTGTGATATTAGGCGATTTTAATTGTCCATATTTTGTCACTAAGGGCTGTGATGTAAGTATTATCCTAGACCAATTTTTAAATATGAACTATCTTGCTCAAAGTAATACAATCTTAAATTATAAGGAAAAAATGCTTGATCTTACATTGACTAACATGAATGTTGAAAGTGTGACTGAGTGTGTCTATCCTCTTGTAGCCAAAGATCCGTATCATCCAGCATTGTGCATGTCATTAAAGTTAGATATCCGTAATTCTACTCAGTCTGTGTGTATACAAAATAGTCATACATTCGACTATGCAAATGGTGACTATGTTTTACTCTATCATCTTTTAAACTCTGCTAACTGGTCAGATTGTTATAGTAGTAGAAATGTAGATGAATGTTTAGATAAATTTTACAATATTCTGTTGCAATGTATTAGGCTGGCTGTACCTCAGAGGCAAGTTAAGGTGGGAAAAAAGGGTCAGTTTCCTAGTTATTTTTCCATAGATCTTGTAAGAAAAATAAGGAAGAAAAATAGACTGCATAAGCAAATACAGACTGGGAGAGCCGACATGTTAACCATGGAGGAATTCAAGAGCCTAAGATACTCTATTAGGAAGCAGACTAAGCATGAGTATACTTTATATCAGCGCAATCTTGAAATTAATATAAATAGGGATCCAAAGAGTTTTTGGTCCTTTATAAAAACAAAAAGCAAGAATAAAGGCATTCCTACAGAAGTGTCTTATAACGATAAATCCTTTAATACCTCACAAGAGATTGCAAATGCCTTTGCCCAGTTCTTTTCATCTGTTTATGAAGAACCATCTGTAGCAAGTACAAATGACAAATTTGGTAATTTCTCTTTTTCTAGGATCACAGAGGAAACTGTTAGGTCAAGCATAAAAAAACTCAAGCCAAAAAAAAGTGTTGGAACTGACAATGTGCCTTCCTTTATTTTTAAGGGCTGCAGAGATGTATTTTTGAAACCTTTAAGTTATATCTTTAACCTTTCTATTAAAACTAATTCTTTTCCTACGCTATTAAAGGAATCCTTAATAACACCTATTTTTAAATCTGGTTCCCACAGCAAAGTTGAGAACTATAGGCCCATAAGTATTTTAAATACTCTAGAAAAAATCTTTGAGATGATTCTCTATAATGATATAATGCATAACTTTAGCAACTGTTTCTCTATCAGTCAACATGGTTTCCTGCCAGATAGGTCTACAGTATCAAATTTATGTACTCTTACTTCACATGCTATGGAAGCAATTTATAAAAGAAATCAATTGGATGTAATCATGTAAAATAGGTGACTTCGGTTTTTCAGATAGTGCTTGTCTTTTTATGCAGTCTTACTTAAATAAATGGAAACAAAAAGTTAAAATAGGTAATTATTACTCAAGGTCGTACTTGGTAACATCAGGGGTGCCACAAGGTAGCAATCTGGGTCCCTTGCTTTTCGCCATTTTCATTAATGATTTGCCGAACTGTATTAGGTACTCTGAGAGCTTGGTATTTGCTGACGATTTCAAGGTCTTTAAGCCGATTACTGGAACTGGCGATTGCGAGAGATTGCAGGAGGACCTGGATTCTATCACTAGTTGGTTTCTCGACCATAAAATGCATCTCAATATTGACAAGTGTCAAACTATTACATATACTCGCAAAATAAATTTTATAAATAATACTTACACAATAAGCAATAAGCCATTACAACGAAAAACCAAATGCAAAGATCTTGGAGTCAACTTCCAAACTAATATGAAATTTAATGATCATTACCTTTACGTCATTAATAAGGCCTATCGAGCATTAGGTTTTATTAAAAGAAATACAAAACATTTTAAAAATATTGATACAATAGTAAGATTATATAATTCCCTGGTCAGATCTCACCTTGAGTATGCGTCTGTAGTCTGGTCACCTGATACTAAAAGTAACATTGATCTCCTGGAAAGGGTTCAAAAGCGGTTTCTTAGATATCTCTATTATAAAAAGAACAATATTTATCCATACCTCGTATCTTATAAGGATATGCTTGCTTGTTTCAGTATTCAATCTTTGGAAACAAGGCGGAAGATGAATTCAGTTTTATTTGTATATTACGTAATTAACAATGTTAAATATAAATCATGCTTTTTTATTAACAATATACAGTTTTATGTTCCTAAAATGAATCTAAGAATTCACAATTCTAATCTGTTTCACTGTGATACGTCAAATAGGACACCAATGACCTCAATGCAACATCAGAGCAATATAATAATTAATAAATATAATATTGATATGTTCAATGTAGATGTTAAGAGCCTATTTTATGCATGGGACCTGTTAGGTTAGGTAGTAGGTTTAGTGTTTAGTGATGGCTTTAGTTGTAGTGTTAGTTTTAGTCTCCCTCTTACTTGTAGGTATTAAAATTTTTTGATGTTTGTAAGATGTACCATAAATAAATAAATAAATAAATAAATAAATAAATACTATTTAACAAAATGCAAAGACTACAAAATAAAATCATAAAGGTAGTATTTAATATTCCATATTGTAACGGTTTTTTAAATTGAGGTTTTAATAAAAGTAATTTAAACTGTAGTAAGTCATTTATTTTGTATAATTATTTGCCAAAAATTAGGCAACCCAGTTAACATAATCATATCCTTCACTTATGCGTTGTGTAAAACAATGGGTACAGGCGGTACATTTTTGTAACCTAAAAGAGTGTTGTCATTATTTTCACTGTTTGTTCAAATTTAAATGATTTTCCAAAAGTAATTGAATGATTTAATTCATGAGATGTTGTTTTTGATGCTAAAATACAAGAAGTCGTTAAATTGTGTTAAAATGGAATTAAATAAATTAGTTAAATTACCTATTCTGAATTTTTTTTGTAAATTAATTCTTGACGGGTGGCGCTTTGGAGAGGTATTCCGGAAATGAAAGGAGCCATTTTAATTGAAGCTCCAGGCATGATAATAAAGGGAGAACCAAAATTTATCGTAAAAGTTTTAATTATTTGGGCATCATACGTTTAAAATCAATAAAATCAATTCCAAAACCACTTTAAGGCCACACCAGATCAAAGGTAACCTATATTTTTTGTTATTTCTTGTATTTTATGTAATCTGAGCAATCAATCTCTTTTAGGCCTTCTACTTAAAGTGTGCGTTTTTGTATTGCACCTATATCTCGTGCTTTTTGACTATTATTAAAGCACAGTTATACCTTTGGCATTAATCTATCGCCATAGATTGTGATTACCTGGAAAAAAGCTAAATAAAAATATTTTAAAGAAATAAATACGAACCTGTACCTGTTGTCCACCGTCGCGACGCCACACTAGAGTTTTGTCAAGCAGTGTAACCTACCTGGACCTGTTGTGTAATCTGGATTGTGGGTTGTTACATCTTGTTCGAGTGGCTGGAACCCACTCGACATTACGAAGGAATATTTATAATTTCATATAGACAAGGGTTATTACATCTTGTTCGAGTGGCTGAAACCCACTCAACATCACGCAGGAATATTGATAATTTGATAACGTCAACTTAGAGTAAGAATATTCTATTTTTTTGTGTAAGCCGAGTACAATTGTCCAAGGTATTTATTTTTGATTTTCTATTTATCTGTGTTTCAAATGTTGACAATCACATTATAAAATTATTTACTTGGTTTGATGATTTCAAGTTATTTAATGTCTATTAAATTTGACCTTGAACTTGAAATTAATTTGTTTTCGTTATAAAAAGAAACTAAAATATCCTTTTTTCCTCAGTCCTATTTTCTGTCAAAAGAATTTCTTTTGGCTGGCGCCCATTTACAAAAATACTTACCACCTAATTACTTACCCACCTCGCTCCCGACTAAGAAAAGCTGTCGCGCATGTGACCGAAATTTAAATTTTAATTGATTTAATAGTGAAGTTTCGCCACATAAATTTGACGCCTTAACGTGGGGCCTTGTTGCTTGTGTTTTGGATTTTTTTTCTTTGTCGGAATCGGGATATTAGCCGGGATAATCCATTAAACTTTCCATACCTTTTTTTTTTGGTTTCTTTTTAGCGAAAATTAAAACATTGCGGATTTATCAACAGTGTTTGTTGCGGTGGTTACTGAGTTTAAAATATTAATAAAGTTTGTTTGGCTTATGATAGCTGAGGTTGCTTAAAAATATTGCGCACAGTGGGATAATTATTTTTCCCCCACGCATTTAAATTTATTATTTTTCCATAGTGAGATAATTTTGTATGCTTTAGAAATTTTTGTTTAAACTTTACACACCACCTTAGATAGTATTTAATAGACAATTGTTGTACATTGATTGATAGTCATTCGCTTATTGTGAGCAAACTTAATACTATTGGCTTTGACAATTCATTAACTCAGTTATTTGCTTCTTATCTCACTAATAGAACTCAATTTGTCTCTTATAATGGGTTTAACTCATTGCCATTTATTTGTAAATCTGGAGTCCCGCAAGGCTCAAATTTAGGCCCTCTGCTTTTTCTCATTTTTATTA